GTGTACAGTATGAGCCAATCAGTGGCAGTAATGACAGAGCATGCGCTGTTACGCAGAAACCGTGATAGAGTGAAGCCGCGGATGTCGAAGCTCGAAGTGGCGAGGGTTCACTGTACATTCTTATGGGAGCTAACACTTCAGCTTTCTCCCAAAGAACTAACCTTATGGTTTACTGCACAGTGCTCAACCCGCTGCACCACCAAACCACTTATAAGAAAGACACACTATACACTATGGCAGACATGTGATTAGCTAGTGAACTGTACCTGACTGTCTGACTTGCAAATCTAACTTAAAGAAAGACTTACAAGGACACGTTTGTAATCCAAGGACTGCCTGTACAGTGTTCACACATGTCCAAATCACATACAGTCCTGTTTCACAGAACCTATCATGGGCTTTCAGCGATGTACGCTGCAATTAAATTAAGCTCAAAATATCTTCAATTCAAAGGCAACTAGTTCAAAGAAACGGTTTGACTAAAAACATAACTTTCACTAGTCTAGGTTGTGCCTTGCTTAGAAACCCTGCAGCTCAGGCTCTCCTAACTCACTGAAGACTTACTTCAGACACAATGATGTCCATCTGACGCCGCAGCTTCCTGAGGGTGTTCATCAGTTGTTCAGGGTCTTTATGTATGCCAACCCAGCAGCCATTAACGAAAATCTTGGTTGCACTAAAATACAAAACCACAAAGATTTGCAATTCGCGATCCTAGTCTTGGATGTAACAAAAGACTAACAATATAAAGAGACAGAAAACATCTATACATACTCAGCAATAGCCGCAGGAGAAATTTCTTCTAAGTTTTCCATACTCCATTCTTCTAAAAATTCCAGAATGGGAGATGGCTGAGAACCAACTGAAATGTAAGCCATCAGAGCTAAGTTCTTCACAAGTCCTACAGCATGACCCTATGAAACAGACAGAGTATCACTCAACTGATTCAGCGTGCCAACTCAAATCCTATTCCACAAACATTTCCTTAAGTTTGATTTCAAGACTTAGTACCCTAATTGTCTAAGACAAGATTGCTAAATAATACCTTAGTTCTAAACCCACCACATAATAAAAACTTAATTCTGAAAATAACTACTCAAAACTCCCTGCCACTGAGTTGATACCAAATCAAACCAACCCTGTAAGACAGTAGAACTGCCCCTTGAGGTTTCCGAGACCAATTCTTCCCAAGAGTAGAAAGCCTCATCTTTCTCCCGTGGAGCAGTTGGTGGTTTCTAACTGCAGACCCCTGGTAGTTACCAGTCCCATGCAGAACCACTAGGCCAGGGCTCCTTAAAAGTAATAAGCCCACTAATTACCGTATATATTCGTGTATAAGCCAAGTTTTTTCAGCACATTTTTAATGCAGTTTTTGTGGTAAAATTAGGTGCCTCGGCTGATATTCTGGTTGGCTTATACTTGAGTACATACGGTTTACACATAAATTCGAATGCGTTACCTCTGGGGTCTCAGCAGGACACACCATTCCCCACAGCGTATTATGCAACTGTCTTGGTTTTGCTAGCTTGCCATCTCTGCCAATAGGAGAGTTTAAACGTCGCAGGTGAGAAAGAGTAGACGCAAAAGTCAGACGGTTCAGTACCTAGGAAAAAAAAAATTCTTTATAGAGTTTGGGCATTTAGAAAAATAAGATTCACACTAGCTTATTTTTGCCAAAGACTAAAATCGGCAGTTATATTTTTACATACAATCCACTGAGTGGCAAGCTGTTCCTATCGCTCAGTTCCCTAACCTGGATAATCTTATTGACACCCCCCCCCTCACCCCCGGCTTAATTGTGCTGTAATAGAAAGGGTCGACACAGAGAGGAGGTCGGATGCTACTATACTGTGGGGAATGCAATCAATGTTTGTGTCAGATATTTGGGATCAATGTGTGGAATTAAATTGTGTATGAAGTGAATGGTAAACCAATTTACTCGATAAACCAAAAAGAAAGGCAGGGAGGGAGGAAGGAAGGACTATAGTGAGACATTTTTTAGCAACCTTTTCCTCAGTACTCCATCTGAAAAGTAGCTGTTACGGTTACTGCACTTACAACAGGCCCACACAGTAAGAATCAGCATCGGGAGTAAGATTTTGCAACAAAGGAAGGGAATTTCCCTTTATTCTCTGCTTTGGCTTCAAGACATAAACATTTCATTAACATCGACTGTCTCACTTCCCAAGCTTCTAATAACTCTTACTTATTAGCAATCCTAAGTTCCTATATGACAAAACAAACTTAAACTTATCAGTAATGCAAATGATTGCTAATTAAAGAAAATATTCATTTTCATAATTCCTTAGTCTCCAGCAAAATTTTCACTTTTGACCAGGAAAAAAGGCAAACTGATCTGCACTCGGTAAAAGTCCGGTGACCTTGTCGTCTCATCCTTACCTGGGACACGCCGGCTCTGGCTTGGTGAGCTTTCTTTTGATCACCCCAGTTTCCAGTAGCTAACGAGTATTTTAGGCCATCGGATATAATTCTTGTTTTAATCGCCAATTCCAAGTTGAAATCCTTTCCTCGATCAATAAATTTCTGTGCATAGATCCGCACTTCTTTAAGCAAATTCTTAAACATACTGTCAAATAAAATGGGTTGTTTTTACACATTTAAGAATCTACAACGTGCATTCTCAATAGGGAAGAGGAGAAAAGCATTTCAGCATACAAAGCACAGACAGACATACAGTGCATAACCATGGGGAGGGTGGCACACCACAGCTTGCAGTTAGGGGGAAATGTGTTAAACATTTTAAAGCCCCCTACCATCATGTGGGTGCTACCTCACAGCGACACCGTGGCATACAGCACAAGCACCCGTGGGTTTTTCTCCTCCCTCATGGGAGGAGACAGCCTCCTCTTGCTTGTCCAAGGCACAGCTGGGTAGTTCACTGTGCTGTGGTTAGCACCCCCAACAGGTAACCTCCTACTCCACCAGGGCTCCCTAAAAACCTCGCTGAGTTGATTCCTCTTGCTCTCTTTGTAATTACAAACACTAGTCTATCACACTAACAATGTATACACAACAAGGCTAATGTCAACACTAGGTTTAGGGACATTTCTTCCCTACCTATCTCTACGGACACATGTCAATTTGAACAAGGCCATATATTCTCTTTAAAAAGCAACTTATTTTATTTTAAAACACAATTATACACTATTAACTTATAAATGAAACCATGTGACACTATACAGTTATATAAACTTTACAGTAGTTAACATTATACATTGGAGATACTGAGTTCAACGTATCGTAAAGATCACTTGGGTCAGTCAGTATGGCAATATCCGCTGCATTGTTTGTCTTTACATTTGATGTTTGCTTTCTAAGTCAAAAAGTGCTTTTTGACTATGTTTATATTTATTACTGAAGTAATTTTTTCATCAAAGAACCCAATTTACTGAGATTAATACTCAATTTACGTTCATCTCAAATTGACGCATATCCGTAGATAGGTAAACCCCACACAGAATTTCAAGATGAGAAGGCTTAGAAGAAAATGAATTTGAATATATATTTGTCTCATCAAGTGGGTAAGTCAGCATAAATGGTAGGAAGTAAATGTACAGTTTCTGTAATGTTCGTTGAGGAAATCGAAATGGGTCAACATGACACTTCCTGTAAACCTAGTATTAACAAAAGAATTTTTAAATTAAAATTTCTACATTATTGTGTTCTTACACCTTTTTTAGTTATAAAAGTATGAGAAGTTCACTGCAGAAAATATGAAAGATAAAATGCTCCTGGAAAAAGAAAAAAAACGTATCCGGAATAAAATAAAAATCCCATAAAACCCCAACCCTGTGAGACCATCACTGCTTATATTTTCCATAGTCCCCTCGATCTTGTATGTATGTTTTCATAAAATGTAAAAGTTGCATTATTAAAATTCTAATACCCACAGTTGTGGCAAATCAAGGCAATAATTCAGCTTTCTCCAACAAGTTTTAAAGCTATGCGAGCAATAAGGAACATATAAACCTGTCCTCACGAACTTGACATTTCACGACAAGAGCCAGAACTGAATGTGGACAAGGGGCAAAGGGAATACAGCAACCGCCCCACGCTGGTAGCCAGTGCAGGGCTCACAATGCCCCAATCCCTCCCTGTGCCCGGACGGATGGAAACAAACCCAACTTACCCTCTAAATAAGAACGCCAGGAGAGGCCCAGCAAGATCCAATCTTTTGTTCCCATAGTGATCCCTGTCGTCCAGCTCTCTCCTGCCCAAAGCTGCCAGAAGTAACCTATGAACCATATACCTTTAAAAAAAAGATACAAAAACATGATTTTCAGCGCCCTGTCTTGGTTTATATATCTCAAACATCGTTTTACATTTTATAAGAGAAAAGCTATCTCAGTTACTCCTTAGCAAAGCCCCTGGCACAGAACGTGTAACACACCCTAAGAAGTAGGCTTTCTTGGTCTCACAGAAGTCACTGACGCCCACATGGGGGAGCATCTCTTTTTGCAGGACCTCTTTTGCATATTTAATTCTCTTCTCTTTTGTCACACCGGGCTTCGCTCCTCTTGAGCCAATGAAATTTAGTGCCACATTCTGTTCTTGGATGACAAAGGCTTCATCAAGGGAAGGTTTAACCTGTCAAGACAATTTAATTAAGTTATTTTTTAAATCTGCATTTTTGTCTCAAAATTCGTCAACTGTCATTTACTGTATAACATGTTAAATATCTCTGAACTGAATCAGCAAACAAAAATATTTCTAAAATATTGAAAAATTGAAAAATACTAGATCTAGAAGAGACTTTTAAACAACTGTTGTTGCTACAAAACTGGTTTTCTGGAAGTTGTTATTAATTAGGAAAAAGAAATATAAACAATAAACACTTTTAGAAGAAAAAATTTAAGCCCTGATGCACAGTGTGAACCCAGACTTATATGTCACCCTCAGTTTTGGAAGAGCTAAAAGGCATGTTAAGACATAGAGACTCCTGTAAAAACAGTCATTACAAGCAACAATGTGTAAACAAATGCAAAAGTAACTATGGGGGCCATGCCTTGAGGGAAGCCATGAACAGAGAGAGGGATGGCTGGGCTATTTCTGCAAACCTATTTGTAAATGCTGCACACACACTCATACAGAACACAGCTATAGAAACTTCTTCAGAGAACTACTGAACTTGGAAAGTTTTTAGCACTAGTCTTACTTTTCTGTAAATCTGAAATTGTATTCCAAAGAAAGCAATCAAAAAAACTAAAAAGAAACACACATCAATTACAGGCAACCCCCGAGTTACAATCAATTCAAGTTACTTACAACTGTGTGTTGTTTTATATATATCTCCCTGCTATTGATGTGTACCACATACAATCGTGCTACCTGTAATCTTCAAGGTTCTCCCTGACAAAAATCGGATTTACAAAAAGACTAGTAATAAAAGGCAACAAGAATAAAACTTTAAGAAGAAGAAGAATCTGAATCCCACGAGAACCTATTTCCGACAGAGCTGTCCGAGCAGAACCGGAGCCTGTCACAAGTCGGGGTCTGCCTCTCCGAGGTGGTTTTGACGCCACTGCTCAGCCATGGCTCACGACCTTTCCTCTGGCCGCTGGCCGTGTACTCCAGCGGCCAGCGGGTCTCAGGGCTGTCTCACACGGAGCTGTCAGGCTAGAGGCCCAGGCGGCCTGAATACTTTCACTACACAGTAAATGGCATGAGACAGGTGACAGTTAAAATTGCTCTCTGAGCAACTCGCATTATGTTTTAAGGTGAGAAACATTCGGTAACTTCTTGTGCAACACTATGAATACATTTTACTTTCACATTACCATTTCCATCATCTCTGGATCTTCAAAATCGTAAATAATATGCTCTAAAATGTCTCTGTCAGACACAAAGCCTAGTGCTCTGAACACAATAATGATGGGAACTTCTTGCTTGATGTACGGTAGAGTTGCCACGATGCGCTGACCAATTGCACTCTTTTTTGCACCCTAAGGGGGGGGGGGATACATCATTAGAACACGAATACGTAGAGCTCAGTTAGGTACCAACACCCTAAGAAACAATCAATAGATACGCTCATTTTAAGAGCATGCCTCCCACACTCCAAAAGCCTTCTGGTGTCTGCTCTTCAAAGCCACGGAACCGGTTTCCTAGTCTGTGCGGAGGGAGGTCTTCCAGACCTCACAGACGTCCGTTCTCAGCTGGCTGCCTGCCTGCCAGCCTGCCATGATCCTCTCAAATCACTCAGCGGTGTATTTGGAAATGACCTCTGACACCAACAGAACATTAGCATCTTCCCAGCCTCCTGCCCACCCTCCACCACCCAAAACAGAGCCTTCTAAAAGACAAACGCAGACTGAAAAAAGAGAGAGAACATGAAGACTAACTCAGAGCTTTACTGTGAGGTTAAACCTTCTTGAAACGTTTTAAATTATCACGTTTTTCACATAAGCCATTGACTGCTTCTAACTGGATACTAATTTTCCCTTTCAGTCTATCATGTGTTTCAGGATACATCTTTTTTTGAGGGAACCAATGAAACATTAAAAATCATGCCTACACCATGCAGTCACTTTTCCTCAAAAACAAACCAACAAAAAAAAACCCCAGCATATTGTTGAAAACCTGTTCGCTACATTCTCTCTAAAAATGTAATGCTTCTAAGTTTTCTATTTTATCACCATTGTTTCAGGAGAGAAACCACAGTATCTTGACTCATCCCCATATCTATAACTAAAATCCAAATGATTTTCCTTTCTCTGCCTCTAGTTAGTGTATGTACTTGTACACAAACCGAGTTTTCCAGCACACTGTTAATACAGTTTTTGTGGTAAAAGTAGGTGCCTCGGCTGATGTCCGGGTGGGCTTATGCTCGAGGACATGCGATAACTAATTTGGCCGTACCCCCAAAGCCCACTGCTAGCAAGTCGACCCAACTCCGACCAACCCTGGAGAGGGTTTCCTAGGCTGTAACTCTCTACAGGCGCATCTTGCTCTCTTGGGATGCGGAGTGGTCGTGGCACAACATGAGTAATGAAACTGAGATCCCTAACCCAAGGCTTCCCTGACAGCACCACCAGGGCACCTTAGTTTGCTCATAACCACCTGACACACACTCTGTTCCTATCTTTGTCCTCCACAATCCAGGCCAGCACTTCTCAACAACAACCAAAACAACGCTCATCACAATCACCTGGGGACCTTTTCCAAACACCTACCGCAGTCCCCTT